CTGGAGCAGATCAGTGTGTATTATACTGTATCACACACTGGGGTGAGTCTGGAACGGATCAGTGTGTATTATACTGTATCACACACTGGGGTGAGACTGGAGCAGATCAGTGTGTTTTATACTGTATCACACACTGGGGTAATAACAGAACTTAAGGCACCAGTCACATTCTTTTTGTTATGCAGCAGTTAACGTCTGAAACTCGTCTTGTCTCTATAACAGATTCTGCAGCATGTTTGAACTCTGACCCCCTGGATTCCAGACTGCATGTCGTGGTGACTCTGGTGCTTCTGTGTGTGATGGCAGCAGGGGCTGTAGTCGTCTTGCACCAGAGGAAGCTGTTCTGTGTGCCATTTTTACCACTGTCTTCACAAAGATAAGATCACTTTATTGGCCCTTTACAATTTCTTGCATTAGGAATTCGTCTTTTTGCAGACCCCAGCTTTCTCTCCATGAGACACACAGACACACAGACAGGGAGAGAGAAGCTTGGGGTCAGAGCACAGGGTCAGCCATTTATATGGCGCCCCTGGAGCAGTTGGGGTTAAGGGCTTTACTCAGGGCTCCCAACAGAGTACGATTCCTATGCTGGCCACAGATTTTTAAAGTACATAGGCTGGCTAGCCAGTAGCCATATCACCCTGCAACTCGCAACCGGCATCCCACAGACACCCAGCAGTGTGAGCCTGGTCAGTACTTGGATGGGAGACCTCCTGGGAAAGCTGAGATACTGCTGGGAGAGGTGTTAGTGTGGCCAGCAGGGGGCGCTCACCCTGCGGTCTGTGTGGGTTCTAATGCCCCAGTATAGTGACGGGGACACTAGACTGTAAACAGGCGCTGTCCTTCGGATAAATCGTAAAACCGAGGCCTCTGTGGTCTCTGTGGTCATTAACAATCCCAGGGCGTTTCTCGAAAAGAGTAGGGGTGTTACCCAGGTGTCCTGGCCAAATTTCCCCCCTGGTCTTTACCAGTCACGGCTTCCTAATTATCCCCAACTCTGAACTGGCTTCATCCCTCTGCTCTCCTCCCTACTGAGAGCCTGGTGTGTGAGGAGCAGACTGGAGCATCATCCAGATGGGGCTGCACACTGGTGGTGGTGGAGGGGATCCCCATTACCTTTTAAAGTGCTTTGAGTGGAGTGTCCAGAAAAGCACTATATAAATGTAAGGGATTATTATTAATTTTTATTATTAAGCTGTTAAAGATGGCAACACACTTCAGGTGCGCGAAACATGAATGCTGGGCATGAATATTAATAAGCTTCCAATGACAACACCACAGAGCAAGAACACGTTTGAGCTGAAAGATGTATGTTTCACATTGAAACCGCAGTGTTTCTGATTACAGTGTAATTATGTGGCGAATGTTTTTACTGGTGTTGCCTCGATGGCAATGCATTTTTAAAACTGTTCGCTTTTGGACATCCACTTTGTAGGAAGAGATTTAGCTCCAGTTTGCCTTTTATTTTATTTTTGAGTAGATAAAAATAGAAATTGGCCTGTCTCATTATTGTCCAGTGCTTCAGATTAAGGAGCTAGAATTGTGTTAAGGAGCCTCTGAGACTCCTTATTCGATATATATGGAGTACCTGGGGGACAGCTCTGGGGCTCAGTGGTTTTCCTTGGCTGCCTCGCACTGCAGGGTTCAAGTCCAGACCCAGAGTGCTGTTGGGGTGGAGTTTGCATGTTCTTCTGTGTGTGTGTGTCCCTTATTTGACTAGCAGGGTACGCCACTATCCATCCTGGATGCATGCACATGACCTCACAAAAGACTTGAACGCAGGTGCCTTGTGCTTCCATTCGATGACAGAGGAGCTACGACCACAATGATTACACAGTACCTAGTTTGGGTGATGTCTTACACTCATGAAAGTCCCCTGCAGTTCCAGATATTGAGCATATATATTCCAGATTTATTCAACCCTGACAGCCTCGATCCTCTCTTGACAGGAGCAAAGACCATTACTGCTGCGTTTAATTACTCTGGTGACCGACACCAAGCTGCATGGTCATTATAATCCAGTATTTATTCCATACATGCCAGCGTGATTAAGTAGCACTATAACCCTGAATATGCACAGATATATACAGTATGTCTCCTTCAATAAGTTCCTTGAAGTATGTTCCTTTTAAATCATTAATACTACGCGTTTTTATATAGATAAAATTAAATGGTCTGAGACCCATGTTTAAAAGTTTAAAATAGACATAAGGGCGTTATCTACAATACAGTATTTCTAAATGTAAGAACGTGAAATCTGTGTGGACCTGATCTTGTTTTACCTTGTTTAGTCTTTTTTTTTGTCAAGTGCAATTGTATTACAGTATGTAGCCCCTGAAGGTATTATTGGTGTTATGTGTTATATGTATTATTGTTTGTACGGTTTGAATTTTTGTTGTTGCAATAAAAAAAAACGAAAGTCGAGCATAGCAATGGTCACTAAGGAAGTGCGGGTTAACCCGGAATTCCGATGTCCGTGCATTAGCGTCTGCGGCCACAAGAGGGAGACACTCCCGTCCGCTCTCTCGGTGGATCAGCTGTCACACTGCTCACATGGGGGTGGAGGGGATCCCCATTAACCTGTAAAGAACTTTGAGTGGAGAGTCCAGAAAAGCGCTATATAAGTGTAAGCAATTATTATTATTTATAACAAATCAAATTACTTATGAACATATGAAATGGTAATGATACCAATAGACAATTCAGCTTATTAGAGCTCAGTGTTTGTTCTGTACACATGTACTTACAATACATAGAATAATTTACAAATATCCCACTGTGTCCTCCCGTGTAGAATAGATGTGCATAATCTGTTTAGTCTACTGTTAGTCTCTAAGCCGTCAACATTGAAAAATGTTTAATCATATTCCACTTACTGTAAGTCCACCTGTTCTGATCTGTGGCTTCAATGTCATCAACCATCAACTAACCAACCATTTTTATTCTCCTTAAAAGTTTGAAATTCAACTTTTCAGCAGCTGGTCAGAAAGTCAAGTTGCCCAGTAAGGCTGATCGAATGTTCCCTTCTAAACATATGCGAGAGAAAAAAACACCAAAGCAAACAATTCTCAAATAGTATTTCCTTGGATAATAATACTACTACATTTAGATGTGATAATATATATACATTCATTAAACAACTCTCAATGAATTTTCACTGTACTGAGACCAGACCTTCATGTTTAAACAGAGAACCACTCATAAAGAAAATATTAAAATACATATCCATATATATTGAAACTTAATATTAATGCTACGGTATTTGAAGTTTGATGTCAGTCTTTCGCCAGTGGCGTTTTGTGTAGGCCAGTGTTTCACACTGCCCAGAGGAATCCTGTGCAGACTGATCTTCTGACACTCAGTCTCCCATGGGGTGGCACTGCCCTGCAGAGCAAACACAACACTGATGAACTACCCAGCTTTCAGAACGCACGACGCCAAGGCTGTGCTGCTTAAGCATCTCACCGTCTTTCCTCCTCGTCTTTCGAGAACACCACGCCATTGTCCTCCTCGGTGTGCTTGGACAGCTCTCTCGTCAGCTGCGGAGGGAACAGAACCACAGTGCCGATATAAACGCAAGCATGATCTCCAGTATTCTCTCTCTTACATTCCAGTTTAAAGCCCTTATTAACTCTGTAGCAGCGAGGCTTATTAAAATACAGGAATTAAGTTTTCTGTTCCCTTGCCAGTCCTCACCTTCATCTCAGTGGTGCTTGAGGCCACTCCATTTGGTTCACAACTAAGGTGTTTCCCTAGCTGATAGAGTGTCCTGATAAGGAACAGCTCCCCAATTCCTGAGATTCTCCAGCAACCTTAATAATCTCAATTCTGGCACTTAAAAGTCTAAGATTCCAAGGGAAAGTGTTATTCAAAGTTGGTTTATGACTCTAAGGTCAGAGGGCATGGTTACTCATCATCAGCCAATCAGGAACTGGTAGGGCAGGTTAACCCCACGTGGGTCTCTGATGCCCATGAAAGTTTCAACCAATGAACAACCTGCAGTTCCTCCAGGTAAAAACAGGCAACACAGAGAGCCTGTGAACCGGTTCGCAGGGCAGAACAGTTGGGAAGCGCAGAACAGTTCCCAAGGGAACACAGTTCCCAAGCGCAGGACATTCTCGCAGCGCGGCTGCTGGACATTCAGCCTCAGGGCTCCACTTGAACATCCTCAGACTCAGCCCGGACCACCACGTAACGGCCAGTGTGTCCGAGTGCAGGACTTTCCTTTGTTCTAAGAGTCGAGAATGGAGGTAGCCAGCGCTTTACCAAGGGATCCACCCGAGGTTAGCATCAACAGCAAGCCTCGTGAACAGGTTGGAACTGTGGACAGCTGAATCACTATTCAGAACTAACGCTTCATCACGAACGAATCGGTCTTCTTCCTGACCTGCTGGGACCCGCAGTCATTTTTCTCCTGTGCACAAACTTTGCTAGTAAGCCAGAACTAACTAGCCGGTCTTCAGAGAGCCCACTGCTAGAGCATCGCAGTAGAAATCTCTCTCACCACATTCTTGTGTATTAGTACCTGTGTGTGTGCGTTGTTTGAGTTATCCCGCAAAGTTGGATTCTAATACCATGAAAAGAATCATTTTGTGACTTACTGCTACAATTAAGAATTGTCCCAGTAAATGTGCAACCCCTACATTACTGGTGCCTCGTGAGAGGATACTACAACTCTATAACTCCACCCTGTATCTTTGTGTCTATTCATATGCACCCTTAATGCAAAATGCCAAAAGGAAGATAATAGTAACTTCTTGTGTTTGTTTTGTATGGTGTTTATTAATCAATTCCACTCCCCAGTTTATAAATACTCCCAGTCTGTCCACAGCTCTGCGCTCATCTTCTCTTGCTCCCCTCCCTCCACCCCAACGTCACCCTTGCGGCTGCCTCCCTGGCTCATTCTTCACAAATGATTTCCCCAGCCAGGTGAGGTAACACTAAAATAATAAGTACACTATCCCTTTATATTCATCTGATTGTTTCCTCATTAGTAGATTTTGGAAGAAACTACTAAAATGCTTTTTTTCAACCAAAGAAAATTCCCAGTAATGACTCATATTGGTAGGAACCCACTGCGTGTAATGTGTGACAACCATTTTGATTGAGTGTATTTCTGATTTCTGTATAATGTAGCAATGTGTGGCTCATTATGCATAGCATTGACTGGATTATCTTTTTTGTCTACTGCAGCTCCAACAGTATTATTTGCTTCGTTTCTTCTTTACGGGGAGCCTGGAATATCGC